GATGACTCAGGATTTATGAGGCTTAGGAAGTTTCAGGCCACCCTGGGCCATAGACAGGGATACTCTCTAAAAGTCAGGAAAAGGAGGAGGGAAAGAGAAGGTAAGAGAGGTCGGAGAGGAAGAAGGAAGGCAGAAGACAACTGAGTTTTACATTTACTTCCTGTTTCCTAAACTAATTAAAATTTTGTTGATAAAATACAGATTCTTTTCTCATAAAATGTATCTTTTTTTAATCATTTATTTGTTTGGTCTTTGAGACAGGGTTTTTCTGTGTCGCCCTGTCTGTCCTGGAACTCACCCTGTAGACTAGGCTGGCCTCTAACTCAGATCCACCTGAGTGCTAGGGTTAAAGATGCTGGCTACAGTTTTCCCTCATTCTGTATACATTTTAAAAACAAAAAATTGCAGTGCTTCCTTGGCATCAGCACGTCTCCTGTGGGCATCGCCATAACCAATTTATGACGCTTTGTTCATGTCAGGATCAAAACCAGGTCCCCATGGGTTCTTTTCAATCTACAGATTCCTCTGTCATTTGCTCTTTTGACTTATTGAAATAGGTCCTTAATCTTGTAGTTTCCCATTAGATGGATATCTATACATTGTCTCCAATACAATTTCCTGTACCTGATAAACTTGGTTAAATGTGACTCTGGTACAGGGCCTTCAGGAATTCATAATGTCTTCTTTGCATATGTTTGTGTGTGGTATTGGTGGATGGGTGTGCATGCATGTGTGAATGCATGTATGTGAAGGCTTGATGTTGCACTGGGTCAGTCCAGTGAGGCAGGGGCTCTTGCTGAACCCAGGACTTTGTTTGGCTGGCCTCATTACTCGGTTTTCTCTGGGGACCTCCTGCCTCCACCTCCCAAGAGCTGAGATTACAGGTGGCCACCGCACATGCACACACATACACACAATGCACACACACACATGTTCACACATTCACAATACATAATACACACATACACACACAATGCACACACACACATACATATATGTGCACACACATACACAATATATACACACACAGATATACACACGAAAACCTACCAAGATGCTCACTTCTGGCATGGACTGCTTTCAGCAAGTCTGATGGTTGTCTGGCTTTGTCGTCCTTGTAAATCTTGGCCTTTTTGTCTGGTTGTCCAAATTTTTTTTTCTCTCTTTAAAAATCCAGTACTTTTTCTAGAATATTTCTCATTGTTAGCCAGATGGGTTGATTTTTTTTTTAATATGGGTGGAGTGATTTAAAAAAAAAAGAATATAAAGTTTCATTTCACTGGATAAGAATTTTTTAAAGTTAATTGCTTCGTGCATGGTGTAATGGTGTGGGAGCGTGAGTGTGCGCACACGTGATGGCGTGCACGTGGAGGTCAGAGGACAGCCTTTGGGAGCTTTTTCTCTCTTTTCACTGCGGGTTCAAGGGATGAAACTAGGTCATCAGGCTTGTGTGGCCAATGCTTTTATCCAATGTAGTATCTCACTGGCCTTTAAGGGTTTTTTTTTTTTCATTTCTTCCTTTTTAGCAAAGCAGTTAACTTATAAAATTTTAAAATATTAATTTTTTTCTGGGCTTTTATAGAAGTCTACATCACCTATAAGTGTATTAATTGAAAAATGTATTCTCATTACTTACAGAGTCATTATTCTGCACACTGAACTGTTAAATGTTTTATTCCTAAGTTTATATGGGATTAAAGTGTGGGTCTCTATTGTTACTTATCTATTTTGGTTTTGACTTTTTATTTATTTTGATTTTTGTTTATTTCACGTGTTTGAGTGTTTTTGCCTTTCCGTGTGTCAGTGCAGCACAGTGACCACAGGGTCCAGAAGAGGGCATTGGATCCCCAGGAACTGGGAGGTGAATGTTTGTGAGCCACCACGTGGCTGCTGGGAATTGAAGCTGGGTCTTCTATAAGAGCTACAAGTGCTCTTAAGCGTGCTGAGCTGTCCCCTTCCTCCCTTCTCACCAGCTGAATCTACTCCCAGCACCAACTCCTTGGTCGAAGGTTTTTCTTAGGTTTGTTAGTTTTGAAAGCCTATAGAGACCCTTTCCTGTTATGGATCTCTGAGACTTGTGTGTGTGTATGTGTGCGTGTGTTGTGTGTGTGCACATGTGCATATATGTGCCGATCAGGGGACAATCTCTGGTGTTGTTCTTCAGGCACTGTCTACCTTTTGTCTGAGACAGTCTCTCCCTGGCTTGGAGTCGCTGATCAGGCTAAGCCAGCTGGCCATTGAGACCCAGGGATCTGCCCTTCTCTGCCTCCCCAGCACAGGACTGAATGCACACACCGCCATGCCCAGCCTTTTGAGGGAGGTTTGGGAAAATAAGCTTAGGTCCTTGTGGCTGTAAAGCCAACATTAAACAGAGCTGTCTCCCAGGCCCCATACCCAGGACTTCACACCCCCAGGATATCTGTAAGGCTAAAGCTGTTTCCAGAATACTAAGATACTATGTGCACTTTTCATTCTCACGAACGTACCGTGGAACTCTCCAGATGCAGTGTGGCACGTGACTCTGCCAGATTGCAAGAAGAGGCAGCTAGCTGTGAGACTCCAGCTGTCTTTTCTTAAATAAGATACTTGGAAATTTTTAAAGTAATGCTGTTGTCAGCATTCCATTGCTGGGAAAAGAAAATATCTGACAGAATCATTTTAAAGAAAAAAAGATTTATGGACCAAAAAGGTCCATAGTTCAAAGCTTCAGTCCCTGGGGGCTTGGCCCCACTGGCTGGGTCTGTCAGAACACAGTGCCATGGTGGGAGTGGCGGAGGGGATCTGTTCACCTTCTGTGCAGGATGCAGATAGACACTGAAGAAGCAGAGACAGTCTGGAGTCCCAGTTATCTCTTCCAGAGAAGCGGCCCCAATGACCTACCTTCCTTCCGCCAAACCACACCTCTTGGAAGTCCTGCCAGCCCTCAGCAGCGCCTCCTCTGGGGAGGAAGGCCTTAACAGATGGCGCTGCTGCAGCCCTAACCAGTGAGCTTGAGAACAGAGGCTGGAGGTGAGCAGCAGGCCCCCGGCTCCTTTCCAAACCAGTCTTCCCCCCAGGCCTGGGACAGCACAGCAGCTTGGAAGACCTCTGAAAAGCCTCCAGGACATTCTCCCTCGGTTCTGATGACTGACACCAGGCTGCCTTTTGGCCACACCGAGCTTATCAAGGGTGCCTGGTTTGAAGTTCTGTGCGCTGCTTCCCCCTCATGAATTCTGTTCTCATGAAGGCAGGAATTCCTTCTCCTGCCTAGCATGTGCACAGGCCTGGGTCTGCTCCCCTGTACCGCATACACCAGGCATAGAGCTCGCTGCCTGTCATCTCAGCACTTGGGAAGTGTGAATGAGAAGTCTGGGAGAGAAGCTGTGTCTGCAGAGACTAGCTGAGGAGAACGGCAGTACTGTGGAGGGTTGGAATGTCACCCACCAGGGACTAAGCTCTGGCCCTCGGGAACAGCTAGCTGTCCTTGCACAGACCTGTGTTGGAACTTAAATCTTATGACTAATAGATGCCTGTTTTTTGAAATCTATTAACTTGCCCCAACCCAGAAGCTAGGAATGTCATCGCACAGCGTCATGGGCTTGGAGAAAAGCTCTCCCATCTTGTTGTCCCTGAGTCTCTGACGTACCACCAATGTATTTTAAACCCAACCCAGTACTTCCTTTGTTCTTTAAAACTTCATGGAATTGCTTCCACACCGGACCACAGAACTTGGGGTAACCTAGGTCTGCGCTCCCCGGCCATGATGGTCCCTCATAAACGCTCCAGGAGAAACCATATCTTTCATTCCTTTGAGGTGGGAGCTGTCTCTTTCGATGACAGAGGTGAAGGCAGGGTCACTGGAAGTGTATCCTCAGCAAGGCAGAGTTCAAAGCCGTCCAGGAATGCTGGAATCTCCCCCCCTCCCGCCCCCCGCACCTATCTGTCCATTCATCAGGAGAACAAACCCAGAGACAAACTGCAACCTAATGGTTAGGTTACGTAAGTAATGAGCTAAGTAAGCATGAGTCACTGGGGATACATAAGACTTAATTACAAGAGGTGTCAGGGTAGTTCAATCTTACTGGCCCTTCTCACCTTCTTGCCCTCTGGAAGCCAGGCCACAGGGGAGGTATGGCACGCCTCCAGGCCCTACTGTATATCCCCAAGAAACCACCTCTCTCCTAACCATCCCTGTGTCTCTGCACAATTCATTGTGAACTGGCACAGGGTCCTGGAAGCGCCAGCCTCTGCCCTCTGCACCTTATCTGTGCCTGAAACATGGTATGGTCACATCACGCTGGGAAGCTGGCTGAAGATATGACTGAGTAAACCAGCACAGAATCCGGGTTATACAAACAGACAAAACACATTCTGCAGCAGAAGCAGCAATTCTCTCCAGAGGGCAGTTGGCCAGGGTTGGAAGCAGGGAAACTGGCAGTGGCAAGGACCACCCGCTTCGCATCATGGCCGTGGTATGCTGGGTGGAGGTCTGAGCGATTTCTACTTTAATATGGGAAATAGCCCCTCTCTAATGGAATCCAGCACTCGAGGGGGCTCTGGTGTCATAGAGGACTTGAGACCGGGAAGGTCAAGAGCCTGCAGGCGGCAGTGCTAAGCGGGGAGAGTGCCTAATGTGGTGCCTTCCTTCCTTGGTGTCTGCGTGCTCTTCACAGTGCTTCGGGGAGGGTGGCGTTCCTGTGCATGGTGAGGAACACTCAGTATGCTGTGTTCTCAACTGCTTTTTCTTACGCAGCATTTGCAACCTTCTCCAATATGTGAAATTTTCATCCTTCTGGCTAGAAAGAACTCTTGACTCATTTACAAAGAGGAAGGCTAGAATCTTGTCCACCTGGATTTTTTTTTTTTTTAACCATCCCTCTTAGAAGCTACTCTGCAACTGGAGGTGGGTTCGGCTCGCTCAACGGGCTGCCGACTCGGTTGAGAGCAAACCCTCACCGGCATCACCGAGCATGCACAAGCCCAGGAGCCCTCTACTGAAGGACCACAAGACCGGGTCAGTGGTTGGTTCTTTTAACTTTTATTCAGATAAATACAACACCTGCACAGAGCTGACATGCAAGCGGTGTCACCACGGGACTATTCTAGAGCTTAAAACAGGTGTTCCAGGTGCACAGGCACAGCTGGCTTTGACGAGGGAGGGTGGCGAAGTTGTGTCCATGGTGTCACTTGCCCATTCAAGGCTGATAGAGATGAAGACGAGCATTGTCCTTGAACATCAGCTTTTAGAGTGTGCATAGGAGACAGAACGCAAGCGCCTCCCATGAGGCACTTAAGAAGGTATTTCAACACTGGGTAAGCCGGCTCCTTAACAACTATTACATCTCATTCCCAGGAAGAAATTTCAGAGTGAAGAAAATGGCACTTACCCTTGGCCATCAGAGTTGGTGAGACTAGTGATTAAAAGAGTTTTTAATATACTAGACTATAATTTGGAAATGCATGAATTAGAGAAATTTCATTTGTTGCATCTTTCTAAACTTCTGAGAATCAAAGAGTGACTTCTTTAGTTTGGATTGGTCTAGTTATCACCTTTCTAAAGAAAACTACTATGGCATGGGTTCTGCTACTCCTGTACATTAATTTAATTTAAATAAGTTAAGGCCCCAATTACTGACTAATAGTTTAATCTGAAGGAAAAGTTTGAGCAGTCATCTGTTCTTATTTGAAGCCAGTTAGGGTGAATGGAACATGGGGTTGAATTCAATTTAAAAATTATAATCCTCACATCAAAAAAGCAGCTAGCGTGAGAGGCCACGGCAAGTGGGTTTGTAAAAGGGCAGCTTTGGGGCTGGAGGTGGGGGTGGGGACGCAGACCAGGCAGCAAAGCCAGGGACCCTGGAACAGACAGCGCCTTGCCTGACTTACTCCAGCTCTAAGCTTCCTGTGCAGAATGACCACACCGCCCCCAAGAGAGCAGGGCCGGCAAGGAGCCTTCGCTCAGCACTACTGTCCCTTCTGCGCAGTTCCTGGGAGGACAAAGGCCAGTTCTGCTCCCTAGCAACTGCCCATACTGGCCATGTCTGGTCCATTTTTTTCTGTAAAGCAGTGAACTGGCTCAGCAGCAGGCTGGGGAAGCAGAATAAGGCTTCTGGGTTGAGCTGCTCCCTCCCCTGACAGCCAAGGGAGAGATTGTCTGGAGGCCTGACAAGAGCAAGGCTACTTTCTACAAAGTATAAAATTCCAACCACTCCAGTCAGTCTATTACAGTGAACTGAATTGCTAAAAAAACAATGTACTTTGAAAGCCTTTGCCACATCTGTAAAAAAAGAAAACAAAGTCTCAAAGTCTTTAAAACTCCTTTAAAATGTATTAATATCCTTTTTAGTTAACAAATATAAAACCATTTAAGACACTTGGTGACTTTCTTAGGTCGTATCTCTGAGGGAGGGCGTACATATATATATCTTGGGGGCTACATTGTGAGGTTTTACTACTAAAATAATCTATTTGGTAAAAACTCCAGAAAGAGTTCTGTCAAGAAAATAATTGTTTTAGAAGAAAGAATTGTGTTTTTTTTTTTCCTCCAAAATGTCAAGAAGAATAAGGACACAAATATAACATACTTAAAATTTCAAACACAACAATATTATTTCAGTAAATAAATAAAAGTGGCACCAACTTTATGGCAATTTTTCAAGACACAGCTCAAAGATATTTTAAAATAAATAACTACTCCAAAAGAAGAGCCACCATTTCAGCACAAAAGACACAGCGTTGACAATGGAGTGTGGCGAGGAAGGCCAGTGCGGCAGGCCACGTCCACGAGGGGACAGAAGTGCCACCCTTTGGCGGGATGGACCCTTAGGCAGATACTTGTCCAGAGAAGAAGGCTTCAGGAGAGGCCAGGCTTAGGGCTGTCTTTTGCCATTTTTCTCTTTTCTTCCAATGTGTGCTTAAATATTTTCTTCAGGGTGTTGTAAACTATTGGTCCATTTTCAGAATCAAAATTAACCTGATGAGAAAGAAAAATTTCTGTTTAAGACACTGTAGCAAAAAAATTAAACCAGTTTCTATTTACAAAGAAAAGAAGTATTTGGGGAAAAAAACAATAAAGATTTATGTAAAACTACATATGGTTAAAAAGCACATATGATAGGTTTATACATGTTAGCTGAGAGACTATGTTGGAGCTGTCAACCACGCCAATCCCAAGCCTTTGAGTGAACACTCATACAGTCTAGAGCCTAGATTTCAAACAGTCCAAGCAGCAGGCCATCAGGGAGGTCAGCGGTGAGCGCGAAGCTCAGAGACTAGCCACCGCTGCTGCCTCGAAGTTCCCTTTTGAAGGAAGCCCACCAGCGATTACAGGTCACCTTCAGAAGCCCTAGGGCACCCTGGACTACAGTCTGAAGACCTGAACACCACGTGGCTTTCCTGAGGCTGTGTAGCTCCGTCTTTTATCTAATGGCTGTGGCAGTGGCTCTCAACCTTCCTAACACTGCCACCCTTTCATAAAGTCCTCATGTTGTGGGGACCCCAGCCATAAAATTATCTCACTGCTACTTCTTAACTATAATTTTGCTACTGTTATGAATCGTAATATAAATATCTGACCCACAGGTTGAGAACCACCAGGCTGTGGGCTTCAATTTCCTCATGTGAAAATATAAAACTCAACACCCACTGCCTTAAGATTTCTGGGAGTTGAAATGAAATCTAGCACCTGTGAGTGCTTTGTACATATAAAAACCTCAGTGAGACTGAAGGTCCCCTCTCCTGTTGGGAAGGCACCGTTCACATTTGGGGCCTTTGCCATGCTTGTCATTCTCCGCTGAGGAACGATGGCGACAGGACAGAGAACCCCACACTATTCCCAGAGTAAGGTACATCTGACAGAGAAGGAGCCAGGGTTCTGGACCCAGCTTCTTCCCTTCACAGTCGCTCCTTTGGGGCAAGTTCTAAGAGGGCCAGGCTGCTCACGCCATAAGCAGCGCAGGGGTCCCAGATGCTGATCTGCTTCTCTGTCAGTGTCCCGTCCACGGCGCCATGGGTCAGAAACAAACAACTGCCTTTCTCCTTGAAGCATGTGTTTTGTATTTCTGCGGGTACCGACCTGACAGTTTTGGACATCTAACTCTGTTTAGATGATTCTTGTTTAAACCCAAGGTGGAACTGGCTGGACATGCAGATACCCCTGACTCCTTTGAGGAACAGGATTTAAAAAGACGTGTTCAATGCCCAGCTGTTTCTCTCTTTGCCCATATAAAAAGCTCTTTGTTCCCACAATGTGACAGGTCAGCTTTGTCTTGACATCACGGTTGGCAACTCTGGAACTACTTATAAAACACATTTGCATTACAGGGCAACAGATGAAAGCTTTACTGGAGGAGGGAAGGTCCGGTGTGGGTCGCAGACGTACAGAGGTGGTGTGCCTGCTGCAAAGGGTACAGGGCTCACCTTGGTGAAAGCTTTGACGGCGTGTGAAAGGCAAGCATCCTCCACTTCCACAGGGAGCGTCTGCAGGCTTACTATGCAGTGCAGCACACACAAGATGGTCTGGTGCTGCCCCTGTTTTGTTTCCCCAGAAATAGAAGAAAGTTATCTCAAGAAATCCACTCAAATAAGCATCCAGTGAGCTGCTGGCTATGAGCTAGTACTCCAAGCACTCTGTCACGTGTTCACTGTTCTGTATTAATACACTACGGAAAGTGTCCAGAGCTGGGTCTGAGCTAGCGGCTTTGTCACAAAGCCAGGGTCAGGGAAAGCTGAAGACTGGTGTGGCTTTAGCCACATGCTTCTCCTGCAGTGCACTGCAGGAACCTTTCTTTCCTGCTGCTACGAATGTGATCAGTTCAGCGTGGCCAGCTGATGCTGCAGTCCGGGAGTACAGCTCACTCGAGTGCCAGCAGTCAGTACTGTATGCCCAGGTCATTGCTATCTGGGGAGGCGGGCAGACAGACGAAGCCTCCAGCAACAGCTCAAACATAAGGAGGCAGCTGGAGGCCTGAGTGGAGTAGGGCAGACTTGGGAAGAAGGGTCCGCTGCGTGAATGCTAGGGGCTGTCTGCCTCAGCCAAGAAAAAAGCTCATCACTGTGAACAACATGTACATTAAAGATGTGTGGGGGGGGCTCACTGAGACCCAGTACTAACATCTCTTCTGAAAATTTATTCTAAGAGAATAATCTGAAATATAGTAAAGCCTTTGAACACAGATTATCGTCACTGATAGCCTGACATGACAAGAGCTTTGCCAGTAAAAACCAAGTCTGAGTCCTGCTTAGATGCTGGCCATAAGCCTGGAGCAAGCTTCTAGCTTGCCCTGTCTGTAAAAGGAGTCCTTCTTCTGCAAGCACTATCAAGATGGACAGAGGGGAAACTGGGGTTACTTCCTGAAGCAGCTGTCCACAGCTGCCCAGCAGAGTTAATCTCCTGCCTTATCTACCACCTCCTGTTCATCTCTGGAATTTGAGGCTATGAAGCCTGAAGACTGGAATTGGAAAAAGCCTAGTGGGAATCCTAGAGCAAGCTGGCTAGCCAGCCTAGCCAAATACACAAGGTGACACCGACCTTAGATCTTCACATGTATGTACAAATGTGTGCTCATGTGAGTGAGCAAGCAGACACAGATAACACTGTGTGTTATGTCTTGATATACATGTATGTGAGGAGATTTCCCACATGTGCGTTTGTGAACGTACTGTGTCTGTAGTTTGTGGGCAGACACAGGCAGATCGCTGTGAGTTTGAGGCCAGCCTGATCTATAAAGCAACTCCAGGACAGCCAAGGCTACACAGGGAAACCCTGTCCTGAAAACAAAACAAAACAAAACACCTCCAAAAAACCAAACAACGAAAAACCCAAACAAACAAACAAACAAACACCTCACCCCTCCACACACAAAAAAGCTAAGTTGTATACTAGAAGGTATAATGAAAAATAATTTGCCTCTTTCTACATCCATAGCATCCTTCCCTGATGGCAAAACCAGAAGCAGATTATGGCTCCTGATATTCTTTTTTACTTCATACATAAATAAGTAAGTTATATAGACTCATACACACATACACACCCCTTCCTTTTTAGCCATTCTATGGAGTGCACATTTCAATCTGCTTTTTAGTTTTTACAGATCCATGCTCACAGTGAGTGAAAACAAACACTCTGAAAAGGTGGTTAGTTATGATACAATCCCACTTTGGCCTCACACTGTCTGAGATGCTCCTCTATTTATGGAAAAACCATTTCTTTTTGTTTGGTTTGTTTTTGGGGGGACAAGGTCTCACTACGTGGCCCTGCTGGCCTAAAAATCACTACGTAGACCAGGCTGTTCTCAAACTCACAGAGCCTCTGACTCCTGAGTGCTGGAATTAAAGGTGTGCACTACCACAGCTGGAAAAATACCATACTTTCCAGCCAAAATAAAAATCTAAAATTCAATGACATTTACTATGTTAAAATGTATGTTGAAAAGATTAAAAAGGAAAGATTGGAAGAATTTCATGTGACTCTCCAGGATGTACACTGCAGAAACAGTCCCTGAAAGTGTGGTCACCTCAGTCTCCCAGGGCATGGATATCTTCCTTTGAGGGGTGGGCATCAAACCAGGGCCCCTGTACATGCTACTCAAATGACCTACTGTGGAGCTGCTTCCCAGCTTGGTGGTTGTTATTATTATTATTATTATTATTATTAAGACATTCTTACTGTGTACTAGAAGATGTCCTTGAATCCAGCTGTAGTCCAGGTTGGCTTCCAACCTGTAATCCTACCTCTACCTCCTGAGTGCTGAGATTACAAGCACTCACTGCCATTTCTGTATTTTCTAAATTCATATGTTGCGTATCAGTTTTGCTGCAGATCAAACCTGGGCCCTTGCATACACTGGGCTAGTCTTCTGCCGCTGAGCTACAGCCCCAGCCCCAATCTCTTCTCTTAGGGGAGTGGAGAGATGGCTCAGTGGTCAGGAACAAGCCTCGCTCTTGCAGAGGACCCACACAGGTGGCTCACAAAGGCCTGCAATTTCAGCACTCCGGGACTTGGATGCCCTCTCCTGTCCTCCCTGAGCATTGCACTCTCATACAAACACACAGACCAAACACACAAAATTAGGATAAAAGAGAAAAGAAAACCCACTTAATTAGACCTACGTAAACAATTCATTCTTTTGGTAATAGCTTTGTTTGCACATGCGTGAAACTTATATTGAGGGCCTTAATTGAATTCATTAGCTGGTCCAATTGCTGCTTTACCTTCTCTAGTAAAAACAGGGCGTCACCAGCATCTGCTTGTCTGTCAACCAACATGTCCACATCCTCTTTGGTGATTACAGGCTCTTTCAGTTGCTCAACCCAAGACCACATCAAACTGCACAAGATGAAAGGGTCTCTCTCACCACATATCCTTTCCCAAGCTCCCTCTCGGGAATTGAGCTCTTTCTACAAAGGAAGGAGAGAGAGATGAACATGGGCCCCTGGCAGGGATCCACCAGCGGCTGAAGAGTAAAGGCTGGGCTCCGGGGTGCAGCCTGGACCTTCCCCAGGGCCGAGGCTCTGGGCAGGAGCTTCCCCAAGCCCAGCGTCATCCCTGCCACAGCAGGGCCAGCTAACTCCGGAGGAAGGGCCCCTGCAGCCTCTGATTCAGAGACCAGAGAAGCAGTTCAAGACGGAGTCTTCTTTCTCCAGCATCTGGTAAACAAAGCAGAATTTCCGACTGCAAATGAGATAGAATGGTAGATTAAAACTAGGAGATCATTTATAAGTTAATCTGGTATCGCAGCTAAACCTTTTAACCAAAACTTCAAAGTACACACACACACACACACACACACACACACACACACACACACACAGAAAATTGCATTAAAGTTGGTAAATATGGTGTGTGTTTTTCCAAGTGCCTTTTAGAATCCTATAGACCAACCAAGTACCAAGTCGGCACGCTGAGATCTGGGAAGTTAAAAACAAGTAGGAAGCCTTGGGAACACTCCCAAATCTCTGCAGACAATTTGAACATGAGTTTAATTACTTGCGTGTATTCATGTATGTACCTGTGTATGTGTGCGTGTATGGGTATACCACCAGCATGTGTGTGTGGAGGCCGGAAGACCACTTTGTGGAGCTGGTTTTCTCTCTCTATTATGTGGTCCAGGAGAACAGACTCAAGCTTGGAGGCATTTGTCTCTAATGAATCATACTGCCAGCCTCACACGAGAGTCTAAGACTCCATTTTACAAAAATGAGTTAAGAAATTCTTGACAGGGACTGGGCACAGTGGCACACGCCTGTAATCCCAGCACTCGGGGAGGCAGAGGCAGGTGGATCTCTGAGTTCAAGGCCAGCCTGGTCTACAAAGTAAGTTCAGGATGGCCAATTCAGAGAAACCCTTTCTCAAAAAACAAACAAACAAACAAACAAACAAAAACAAAAAAATCTGGCAGAATCAGATTTATGTTTTGGTAATCCATAAAAAATTTCAATTGTCAAAACATTAGTAAAAACATGGTTATTAACATTCATTAGCCGCCCAGCAAATACTTATAGCATGTTCTGTAATTTGATAGAAGTGGTGACACATTTCTAACTTTCAGAGCAACCTCCCAGGGAGGCTCCTCACACATCGTCACCACTAAGGGGAATACAATACCTTGTGCATAGCTCAATGCTTGAAAATGGGGAGTATTCCGCTAGCTTGCTTTACCGCATGGGCCATGGCACAAGGCCCCTCCCATGCTGGGCTTTTCTTTCTCTTATAAATAAGCCCATACTTGGGGTTGTCTATATTTCTGCCTATCTCACATATTGCGTATAGAACAGAACAGCTTTTTCTTTAACCTTACAGACACAAGAGGAGATAAACTGGGCAGAGCAAAGACTGTCTTGATGAAATGAATACTGCACCATGACGCTCGCTGGAGCTTCCCACTAACACAGAACTATGGGGAGCACTGACTTTACTAACTGGATTCTAGCTCTGCCACATGAACCATGGCTCAAGTGAGCCACATGACCTCTGGAGTCCTTAGTTTCCTCACTGTGGCACTGCACTCAGAAACATAAGAAAGGTCCATAGTCCACCCATCTAGGGTTACCATGACAAGCACATGGCACATTCGTGCAAGGGCTTAGCACAGGCACACACAGCGCCACACTATTCAAGTCACATTTGTTTTACCTTTTCCCAGAGTACAACTGGCTCTTTTAGTTACTCAAAGTTCGCAAAGAAGGTAAAAGGTTTGTGACTCCGGAAAATGCTTTTATACATGCTATATGACGAAACAGCCTGACCCAAACCAAACCTGCATCTTTCGGTTGTTGTTTAAGGCAGGGTCTCTATGAAGCCCTGGCTGTCCTAGAACTCCCTATATAGACCAGGCTGGCCTTGAACTTGCAAAGATTTGACTGCTCTTGCTTCAACTGCTTTGACTAAAGGTATGGCCAACAGCGCCTGGCCCAAGCCCATCTTTATCAGCTCATGTGGGCACCTGGGTGACCCAGGAGTGGCATCATGACATTCTTAACACAAAATTTCTTACTTGCTAACTTGCAACATACAGTAATGCATGGGAAATATTTGTTGACTGGATAAGTTTTTTCCAGTTTATAGTGGGGAATATAGAAAATGTATTTGGAAGGAAAACAATGTTTGAGTTTCATTAACTAAGTACTCTAATTCAGAAGAGCGTTTATTCAGTTTATTCTCTCTGCCAATACTGTAAGTTGGCATGAGCTCTAAAGTTCATTTTCTGCCTCTGAAGATACCCCAGCTCCTTGGCTCAATGAATGAAATAATATGGAAGAGCAGTGATTACTTTAACAGCACGATCTGAAGAACTGGCTCGCAGCTAGGAGAACTTGGGTTCAGCTCCCAGCACCTATACCAGATGTCTTCTGAATGTCTGTAACTTCAGCTCCAGGGATATAAAACACTGTCTTCCTGTCTCTAGGGGCACCTACGTGTCTGTACATACCCGCCCCCACAAAAATAGACATAATTAACAACGAAAAGTAAATAAAATCTCTCAAGTAATCCACAGAAGAGTATGGCTGCCAATTCAGGATTTCTCCAAAAGCCCAAGTCAGTCCTGTGCTGGGGCAGGCTCTGTTCCCACCTTTTCTTTAGACAAGGTGTTCATCCCAAGCAAAGCAACTACAGCTAAAGACTGTCTTCCCGCTGAAAGCAAAACACAAAGGAGGAGTTAAAATTTAAAATTCACTCTCTCTCTCTCTCTCTCTCTCTCTAAATGAAATAAATACCTGCCACATTTCCACTTTTCTTTTCACTTCATCCTTTTCTACAAACTCCTTCACGTTTGCCAGGGCTTTGGCTGCCAGTATTCTCCTTGCGTCGGCACTCAGTTCAGACTGCAGGCCAGCATACGGCATTGCCTCAGACAGGTATGTGCTGTCTTGAGTTTCCTGTCTGGGGGGGAACTGCGCCTTAGGATTGGAGCCACAGTTGAGAAGGCTGCCTGGAATGCAACCACCAGGAGTTTCACACCCACAGTGCGTGATTTGCTCTGGATCCTTGTGGAGACTAGCAAAGCTGGGTGGCACTGGTTCTCCAGGATTGTCAGAACAAGAAATTCCCACAGAGAAGGTCCTGCTCCGCTGCACTTCCTTTGGAATGTCCTTCTTATAAAAGAGTGGTGATCCATCATCGTTGAATCCTTCCAAGCCTCCACACTTTGACTGAGTCCAGAAAGAAAATGTACTGTGAACCAAGGCATCCTTCTCTAAACCTAGCTCCGGAGTCGGAGGTATGTAACAAGGGCTGGTGGGCTTCTGATGAAGGCTGTGGTCCTGCAAGTCCTCTGCAGGCACTGTCCAAGGCGTCTCCCCTTGCTCCAGGATAGCTTTGACTCTCTTTAAATCTGAGTCACTGTAGCTGAGCTGCCTTTTCAGATGAGTCAGAGGCTGAAGACACTCAGCATTCCTCCTCTTCCAGAGGGGGTCAAACTCGGGCTCATTGGAAAGAATCACACCCTGGTTCTCAAACTCGGCCTCCACTGCAGTGGGGTTGAACGGGTCAGGCACATCGCTGTTCTGCCTCAGTAACTTTTGATCTAGTTGCATCGTGACCATCTCAGACACAGTCTTTTCGATCTCTGCGGAGAGTTCAGGTCCTTCTACCATGCTCCTCACCACTACTGGCCTGTTCTCAGCCAGGTCAAGCAGCAGCTTGCACACTAGGTGGATGATCTTTGGCACGTACTTCAGAAGTCGCGCTTCGTAGCCATGGAGCAGATGGCGCTGGCGAATCAGGTACTGGGCTAAGGTAACAGCATGTGCTTTGGGGTCACAGCAAGAGAAAATATTACGGAGTGGAGCCAGAAACTGAGTGAATTCCCGGACACAGAGCAGCTGTCCTCTGGTCTGAATGGAATTGGGGCGTTTTGCCCTCACAAATATAATTGCTTGGTCAGCAGTCATTCTTGTTGCAAAAACTAAATAACATGCAATTAAAACACCTAAATGGTAAAGAGTATTTGTATGAGAAAAGGCTCAGTAATGTATCATGTTTCAGTCTTTGATGATTTAAAACTTCAATATTGTTACAAAATCATGTAAGCACGAACAAATCTGAAGGGCAGTAATGATACCAGCCAGTTTTTAAAAAGATCCATTTATTTATGTATATGAGTGCTCTATCTGCATGTACACCTGAATGACAGAAGAAAGCATCAATCCCATTACAGATGGTCACAAGCCACAATGTAGTTTCTGGGAATTGAACTCAGGACCTCTAGAAGAGCAGCCAGTGCTCTTAACTGCTGAGCTATCTCTCCAGCCCCACCTGCCAGTTTTTTGTTGCTGTTTTTTTTCCTACTGGAGCTCATATAATCTAGGCTGGCCTTAAACTCTGTATCCAGGCAAGGATTACCTTGAAGTAATGATGCCCTGGCCTCCACCTTCCAAGTGCTAGCATTAAAAGTGTACGCCAAAAGGCTGGCTCTGTGTAATCCTGAGTAGCAAATCCAGGGCCTCATGTACACTGGGCAAGCACCCTACCACCCGACCTTCAGCATTATGACTGCAGAGACTTTAACACGTGTCTGTGGCAGTTCCTTCATGTGACTGAATCAGCTTTGCATCCCAGAGGTGGGATAGACACAGCTGGCAGGTAAAGGAGTGCAGAAGGGAGGAGGGGCATAACGAGTGTGCTACCGATCCACTCTAGCCCTTCTGGTATAGAAGGAAAACAGAAGGAAGCCAAATCCTGATTCTGTGTTCCTGGTCAACAGCTCTTGATGTTTCCATCCAATCCATCACTCACTCTGCACCTGGAATTCCTGCTCTGTCATCTTTGCCACCCTCTGCCAGGACATTCTTGCTGACCCCTCTCCCAGGTTGGAAAGGTTATGATCTGGGCATCATCTACAGTCATAGAATACTTCTCTGCCTGAAATTTCTTCCAAACTATGCCTACATTAATCTGTATTTTTCTCCGGACCATGACATAACTCCCTGACATAGGCAAATACTATTAAGGATGTCAGCTGTAACAGAATAATGACTGCTACTTTCATTAGTTACTTATTGGTAAGAATTCATAACCAGTTACTTATAATACAGCAGCTAACAAATCGTACTGTAAAAGGCAAGTCATAGACACCCACACAATTCATGACTTATGGACATCTAATTATACATGATAATCAGAACCGCCGAGAACTGCCGGTCCTCCAGTTCTCAGTGAGTATAAGACAGCTTTCTCATGAGGACACAGCAGGTCTCTAGTATAAAGATAAGTACCTGCAGAGGTATAACATGCAATGTCTAGGAACAGAGACATTTTGGCTCTATCCTAAGAGTTTTATGCAAGCATTGGTTTGCATAAGTTGAATACTAGCCTAGGATGTTTTTATGCAGGGAGGAAATCCCATGGCAGGGAAGATACACTGGCTGGCTAAATCAGATGACAGTGAAGCTCTCGACCCCATGCCCTTCATTTTTGCTATCAGACCAGCAATGTAATATTGTTTGCTGGGTGTTTACATAAAACCACTGGCTTTTACATAGAACTTGACATGCAAATGGTCACCTTCATGTACGCAGTCCTTACACATGTCAAAGTAGACAGCACAGGAAGGATGGAGCCAGTCAACCACACATGTCACACTGACCCTACCATTCACTACATGTGCCAAATTACTTCATTCTTCTTAAACTGCAGTCTATCCAACTCCTACTGTTGCTAACAAGTTCAAAGATAGCAAATGGAAAACACTTAGAACATAGAAGGCCAACAGTACTTGCTTTTATAGTTATTCTTTCAGTTAAGAAAAATAGTTGGGGAGCTGGAGAGATGGCTGGGTGGCTAAGAGCATTTGCTGCTCTTGCAAAGGGTTCCTGCTGCTACCTGGTGCTCACGATGGTCTGTGGTTGTAGCCTCAGGAGACTCGGACACCTCTCCTGACCTCAGTAGGCACCAAAAATTCGCATGATGCAGACACACGTGCAGGCAAACACTCATAGACATAAATAAAATCAATACTTATGAGAAATAATACTTCATTTATTTATTAGATAAATAAGTGCCATTTATTAAAATGAAGTGCTCCATTTAAATAAGTAGTTTTAGAAACATGCTTTAAACATGATGAGTTTTCGGCGCTAAATTATTCTGAAATACTCTTATTAATACATGGTTATTATACAGGCTTAAGAGACTTCAATATCTTTTATTTCTTTAATTTAAAATTTTTGTTATGTTATTTATCTTTAGAATTATAAAATCTTATTCCTACCTCATTTATTATAACCATAGGACAATAATATGACTTCCTAGAACTCACCTGTTCGTCCCAGCCCTGCATGGCAGTGGACAGCTACTTTTCCTTCCTGTAAGGCAAACGTCATCACCTTTACCATGTCTAAGATGGAGGTAAGAGATGCCACACCATAATCCTTCCACCCGAAGTTGTAGAAATAAACTACACAGTGAAAGGAAAAAGAAAAGCAAAAATTAACATGCATACTTGCAAGGACAGTAGAAAAAATGAGTTTCAAGGCATGGAGACGTCACTGAACGAGCAGGCCTATCATAGAGGCTTTCATTTTGGTTGTTGTTTTTTGCTTTTTGAGACAGGGTCTCACATTATAGCCCTGATTGGCCTGGTGCTTTATATTCAAACCAGGATGGTCTTGAACTCACAGGGATCCTCCTGCCTCTGCTTCTTGAATGCTGGCATTAAGGGTGTGAAACACAATGCCCATCTAATAGGATTTTTATATTTCTACTAAGTTTAACTTAAAATTTCTTACAAGCACATTTAGTATTACCTAATGCATTTTCTGTTGAAACTCAGCTGGAAAGAATTATAAATTAAAAATTAAGACAGAGGCAAAAAATATGTATTTTTGTTTAAGAACAGAAGTTCTCTAAAAGGCTAACAGATGGCTAGATACACACACATATATACATATTTTTGTAATTATATATAATATACACATATTTTCTACTTAGGATGGAAAAAAAGCTAGACAAATAAGCCCCTTAAGAACACTTCCCCAGACCGCATGCTCATCCTCATCAGCCCGGTTTGAACAGCCATGCTGGGGAGACTTCTATGATGAGCTGTGGGCTAGCCATGAGCACATGTTCTTGGGAAGGCAAAAATTATTCAACTTCCAATCCTCATTGTAATCTTTAAGCTATGTGATGTCAGACTAGCCAATAACTCTAAGCCTAGGCTGTGTGGCACAATCTCTGTAAGGACAAAAGGAGGTCATCATGTCTGACATGGTTCAGGCACTAACTGAAAGGAAGCCTTTTTACTACAGGGTCTCCTCCCAGCCCCTCTCTTGGAGAAAAGAAACCCTGAACTCACAAAAGCAACATCAAAGTGAGCTAGCATCCTTTAAAGTCAAATTAGAAACCACCCTACTCTGCAGATTCTATTGATAAGTATTACCTAACAGCCTGGAAGACAAAAGTATTGTCCTGTCAGAGTGGGATAATTCAGGATGGGAAGGAACTTACTGCCAGCCTCCATGAAAGCTTCAGGAAGGTAAGTGAAACCACTTTCTTGCTCCAGAGAGTTCCCACAGCTGGCATGCTCACCAGGATGCTGAAGGTTGATTATTGTTTTTATGCCATGACTGAAAAGAAAAAGAGCAATCAGTTAGAAGAACCTGGAGTGGTGAAAAAAAAAACAAAAACAAACAAACAAAAATTTTAGCATTACTAAAACATTTCTAATTGCTCTTCAGCGTTTCTTGGGAATCAACTCCTCACTGCCTGTTTGTAAGCGAAATCCTTGTCGCGTGCTGCCATCGTCAGTGAAAGAAAAGCACGTTGAACTTGTTCGCTGCAGTGTTGGCTGATGCAGCACTTACCTGAGGAACTGCTCGATGATGCGATATTTCTGCAGCAGCTCAGAGGACGGGCGAGCCATGGCCAGGATGCTGTCAGTGACCCTGAGGATGGGCACAGCACTGTGAGAAGCACAGAACTCAGGACACTCTACAGTATAGGATGAGTGACTTTTTCCTCTACGACTTCAGCAACTTCCACATTCTTACAGAAGTCCACCTACAATCAGAACTCTGAGAAACCCCTTAGCTCCTTAAATCTCTGAGAGCGAATTCTAGGACCTGAGTCATTTATGGATTCTGACAAAATGTCTCCAAGGACTCTCACCAGATTCTAGTGAGCATAAAAGGGAACTTCGCCTTGTGACACGGTGCTCAGTCAACTACATGGAGGACAACTGGAAGGCTGTTACCGGGCAGCAGTTACCTGAGTGTGAGGTGGGGCAGTGATGCCGGATATACGTAGGGTTGGGGTGAGAATTCAATACGATGTGTGTGTACAGTAATCTTTAGCACAAATCCTGGACTGTGGCTACAAATACTGAGGTGCTGTAATTTAGCTAAGAAACAGGTATGGGGGATCCAGAGTCAATTGCGCCTGACCTCAAATGTTGTTTTGTGTTTCTGCTTTCTATCTGGGAAGCAAATTAATTAATTTCTTTAGATTACCAATAAAATGACATTAACAACTCATAGGTTTTATGAAAATGAGTGATAATTTGAAAGCATCTAGTAGTAAAGTTCCTTGTCTTACAATCAAATCAGTATTTACGAATGAATCAATGAACAAACAGAATGAGTCAGAACAGTTGGCCATAAAAAGCCTGTTCTCATGTTAGACCTCCAGTTTTGTTCTGTTTTGTTCAAATTTGTCATCAGGAAGCTGGTAAATGATATGAAAGGTAAATGATATCACAAGTTGTGGCTCATATGAATGTCAGAGTAACAGCCAGGAGACTGACAGGTCAGAATCCAAAAGACATATTTCTGTCAGGAGCAATGTGCAAAACTTAATAAGGACTCCCGGAGGCTGAGATGCCCCAAACTCAGCAGCTGTTAGTGAGATGGAAGCTGATGTGAGAGCAGCAGCGATGGTAAAGGCTAGCTCTGATTGGCTGACAACTGAGCCAAGTGTTCCTGGGAGCAATGCTACATTAGACATTTGCTTGTCTGACTCTGACTCAGGAACGTTTGTTTCCTCACACCACGAGGGTCAGACTTGAATATGATGTGTACAGAACAACAGAGGACTTGGGCTGTGTCACACAGGTATACCAAGAAATCCAGCAGAAGAAAGTAGAGACAGCAAGTCAAGTAAGGCGGTCAACAAATGAATTCGTGCTGTATAACAAAAATCACAAGTACAACTCTCCTTTAAACAGTAAAGTCTTCTAATTTTCTGCATGCTTCAAATATGAGTTTGAGTCTTTTGAGACAGGGTCTCACTGTGTAGTCCAGGCTGGCCTGGAGCTCCCTATGAAAACCAGGCTAGCCTTGCACTCATAGAAACCTATGTGTGTCTGCTCCCTGGGTGCTGGGATTATGCATCACTATATTTTCCAGATCAGAAACACACCCCTGACCAGCTCATTGTTATTAAGTATGTATGGCTTCAGAATTCACTGCACTTACACATGAGAAACAATGCCATCCTCTTATGAGTTGCCTGCTGAACTGGCAGCCAGTGCTACTTCAGTCAAGGAAGACTAGATTATACCTCATAATAACATACAAATGCTGTGAACGCTGACCCGTACAAATCTGAGGATTACACACAGACCATACACTTTTCTCAAACTTATAGGTGCACATTTTTACTATGTCCAGCAATTTCTGAAATGTAAAAACTATCAAATTACCCATTAACCTAAGATACTTAATACATGTCATTTCATTTCATGTAAAAGCTTTGGGCTTAGTTATTTACAGTTTGCAAATGAGAAACTAAGATTGAATGAGCCAGTGTCCCACAGCTGGCCTACTGGCAAACCCAGGGAAGAGTGCAAGGTCTGGAATTCCAGGCCCATGTCTCCCCTACATTGCGCCTCCTGGCTCTCAGAATCCCTGCTTCTTTCACTCCACACAGCTGTGCAAGACCTGTGGCCACACTTACCAGGATGAGTAAACGCCCTTAATAGCTTGTTCCTGCTCACTCCAGCGGGCTGGGTTCTCATATTTACACGCTCTCCCACCACACGCCATGGAGCACGCCATGTGTCCGGGGATGACGTGCCGCAAACGCTCGCCCACCTTTGTGTATTTTGGTGTTGGGCGTTCTGAACTTTCTAGAATATACAAGGAAGGTAAGAGTCAAGACGCTATCCTCCCAATAGTGTGGTAATATGGGAAACAGTTTCATTTTACCTCAGGATTATATGAGTGGGTGTAAATCCCTTCATCTAACATTTAGAAAGCTTTCGCACACAGTATTTCTACATATTATATTGATAATGAGAGTGAATTTTGTCCAAAACTACACTAATGACATCACAAAAAAAAATCCACAAATCATTTCGTCATTTTTATCTCCTCTGACATATCCATTCAGTCTTACCATGAGCAGAGCAAAAACAAACAGAATTAAATATCAGCCTTCTAAAAGTACAGACATAACTACAGCTGATACACATTCCTTACACAAAAGGCAGAGATTGTAAGAAAGAGTTTTACTTTTTCTCTCCGGCAAAGTGGGACTCCCGTCTGTGCGGTTGACAGAAGACACAGCCACCATCACCTGGAGGGAAGATGAGGACAGCAGCTTGGTGGCAGAGCCAGAGCCACGCCGGGCTTGCTGCAGCCTCAGGACAGGGTCAGAGGTGGAGTGCCGGCGGCCCTGCAGAAAGGCAGTGAGGAAGTGCACAGCCGAGGGCCTGCGGGATGGGTCCTGTGTCTGCATGGCACCAGCTCCAGGCGGGCAAGAGTTGGAGGCAGGCAGGAGCCAGCTCTGGTTTGCTTGGTGAGGAACTACACTGAGACACAGGCATCGTTCTGTATGATCTAAGAGCCTCTCAGGATAGGCTGACTCGTTTCCATAGTGACCAACAAAGAAACTACTGATTCCCACTTAGATCTGAACAGGCAAAAATCCTACAGGAATGGATTGTGTTCTGGACAAATTGTTCAAATACTGGGAAGAATAAGATGCATTTAAAGTAGATTGTTCTTAAATCTAGATTATTTTGTTTCTCAAATGCACTTAAAGATCTGGCTTCTCAGAGAATCACTTTAAAACCACTTTAATGAATTTTAAAATGCTTTTATGATAAAATACTGTCTTTTATACACATCAAAAAGTTTAAATTTTGTTATGCTTTTCATAGTTGGCCTCCAGGTATTTTAAAAGAAAATCCTGCTTTTCTTTGAAATAGGATAGAAAAGAAAGTTTATTGTAATACAGAGGTATATGCTAGATCCTACAACATTATTAAAGGATCATTCAATTTTTCAGAACAAGGTGCCTTTCTGTATTTTCTTGATAGAACTACCAAAGAAACACTTGGATGGAATAAAAGACATTTTAGAGCTACGAAGACAGTTTCTTTTTCTTTCTTTTTTTTTCTTTTCTTTCGGAAATGAAAACCTGATTCTTAGTTATAAGCTGTTGGAAACAGCTTAGGTGTGAGCGAGAGTAACCATGAGCAGCCATGCCTTTCCAAAGTTCTCTGCTTTTCGTTGCTATGGGAGAATAACGGCTTCTAAGTCTCAGTGGAGGCATTTGAATAAAATGCACTAAAGTATCACATTTTTAAAGGAACGGGGTGAGGGGGAGGCAGCAGTTTGAGAATAAAGGATATAAAGAAAACAGAAACTCAACAACTGCAATGCACTTATTGTCCGCCTCCTCTCTCGTTAATGTCAGGCTGTGCCCGCGCTTTCTCTCCTGTGCTCGCTGCACAAATGGCATTTCAGTGGTGTGCGGACGGAAGCGTAACTACTGCTATAGATTGGGCTCTAATCAATGCTTTTAACATTCCACCCTCATATCCCTGCCATCATGTACTTTTGCGAAACAAGATGGAGGCAGAGAAGCCTAATTTGATGCTCCAATTGCTACTTTATCTATAGTATCATACAAAACTGGAAAAGGATTCTCACCCTCCCACCTCAATTCAGAAAGCAGTTACTCTGCCAGAAAGAATGACCTGAGAAATATTCTAGACAAGGCCTACTTGACCCTTACAATCAACCGTAGAGGGCAGTTCCATAAGGGTTTACATGAGAGGAAAGTGTAGAAGATACTGGAAGATGGCTAAGGGGACCTAAAGCAGGAGGCCCTAAGAACTGCACTTGCTACTCTGGTGACAGGTCTGAGAGGACTTCTGAGCGAGTCCTTGGATTCTGAGCACACAACACAGACTGAAAAGGACAAGTACGGGAATCTCACTGTGGCCTGGTAAGGATGGGAACTGTGAATGGGGACACTTCAAAGGCTGGGCCGCTGTGACGCCACCGTGAAGCTGGGAGTCCAGCTGAGGAGAGCAGCAGACCTGTCACGCTTCACATGGAACCAAGCACAGGCAGTGTGAGGACCCTGCAAGCTCTGTTGCAGGCACTGTTATATTAAGGCAACAGGGAGGAGGTGCCAGCCAGGGAGTGATGGTAGAGAGCGGGCACTGAAGGCTATCTTCAGAGGGAACTCAAAAGTGGCTCTGCTTCAAACTGTACTAACTTCCACAGGAATCTGATGTAGAAGACTCACGTGGACTAAGCTCAGGAAGGGATGGTTTATGTATTACCTCAACAATAACTTCTGCAACTCAAAAAGTTCAAGAAACAAAACCATCTTTGCGTTGTACCTATAACTTTCCTGTGGGTCTGAGATTCCTTCAAGATGAAAACCAATCCTCTAAATGTTATTAAACGCTTGAAACTCAAGGTCCTGTGTTCCGCACTGCTCAGCAAATAGAACTGTAAAGCCTACTTTAAAGGGGTCATCGGAGACCCCAGGAAGAAAAAGTTTCAGTGCACACCAGAGGAAGAGGCCTAGCTGACATGGCCAGCAACAGGGATGGCTGTTATAGTCAGCAGGGCTTTTGTAAAGATTTAGCTGTGACAGGAAGAGAAGGGCCTCAGAAGAATTATAGCGAGAGGCCTAGAAACAATCGACTGTGGTAGGAATGCTAGGCCAAAAAGGTTTAGTTAAAATTAGGAAAGTCTGGGCTGGAGGGATGGCTCAGCAGTTAAGAGCACTGACTGTTCTTCCAGAGGACCTGAGTTCAAATCCCAGCACCATATGGTAGCTGACCACTGTCTGCAGCTCCAGAATTTGACACTCTCACACAGACACACGTGCAGGCAAACCACTAATGCATATAAAATAACTTAAAAAATGTGTTAAAGTCTTGGAGTTCTGTCTTTAGATATCTGAAAACAACTCAAGTTCAAGGGGTGCTTCTATGGGGGGCAGTGGAGGGGAAATTAGAATTAGTGCTGATAGAGAAAGACTCAACGCTAGCAAACATTTTGGACCAATAGCTGAATAGCTAGCCGGCATGCAGGAAGCGAGCCTCCTATCACAGCAGAGGAACACAAAGCTGGAGAGTCAGCACAACAGTCAGCCTCCTGTGCGTGGCTCATGTGTGGACCTAAGAACACGAGCGGGTGGGCCTCCGCTCTCCCAGGACCACCTAGAAGGCTTCCTGTCATGGGTTTGTCTGAACAGAAAACAACCTGAACAGGGTTTATTACTGAAACCCTGAACCCAAGAGAAAATGCCCAGTCCTTGGAGCGCCAGGCCTGCTTGGGATACTTGCGATTTGAACCACCTACAGGAACAATCAAAGGGGAACAGGCCAAGTACTCACTCGGTACTGCTTAATTGCCATGTTTTCATCGTGCTTATCAAGAGAATGTATAATTACGCATTTTGTATGTGATGCCTCATTTTTCTTCTAAAGTGTCACTCTAAGCTTGGTTCTGCATAGCTGTGAAAAGTGGACGCAAAGGCATCTTAGCTGGCAAAGCCCCTGCCACCTCCACTTTCTAATGCAGTGATGGTACGAGTCCAGAGGCACAGGATGGTCCTGTGGATTTGATCTGGTATAGCTTTCCTGGTTTTTCTTGTAGCATGCCTTCTTTTTTCTAACGGTAGCATGTCTGGAAATGGAGAGAGGGGAGACAGAAGCTGAGCCCAGTGTCCTGTGAGTTTATGGGCATGAAGGGAAGAAAACCGACCGCTCTTTCCTGTGCACTTGTTTGAACAATGCCTTTCAGAGGAGGAAAACACCATGCTGGCTGTTAGAGTAAGCGAGGTCGTGACAGTAGTGCTGGTTCTGGTGATCTGCACAGAAATTCTAATAACGAGGGGGAGGGAGGACGCTCAATGATGAGCAGGCTTTGTACCTGGTAACTTGCTACAGATTTGCTCTGTAAAAAAAACCTCTTCCCCTGTTAAGTGGCTGTGGAAAGCGCGGCCCTGCAAAATATTATTCTCATACTAAAATATTTCCATGTTATGTAAGACATGAAAGGGGAACTGAAATGGCTTTCTGATTCTGTCACGTAAAAACATGGCTTTTGGGTTAATGTTTGTAAATGGCATAAGGCGTGGCCCCAACATCATTCTTTGGCATGTGAATAAGCCAGTGTTTCTGTTATCCTTTGTTGAAAAGGCTGCCATTGCCATGTTGAAGAGTCTTGCCACACTTGTTGAAAATCTCTGAGAGCTGGGAGTGTAGCTGAGTGGCAGAGCATTTGCCTAGCACACTTGAGGTTCTGAGTCTAGTCCCCACAATTGAGTAATACAGGCTGGAAGATGGATGGCTCAGCAGGTAAAGGTACTTCCACACCAGGCCCGATGACCTCAGTTTGATCCCTGGGACCCGCATAGGAAGAGAACCACTGGGCACAAGTTGTCTTCTGGCCTCCATGAATGATGAATACACAGAATAAAGAATTCTTTAAAGAAAAAGATAATCATATGCAGAGATTATTTTTGGGCTCTTCATTCTATTACTGTTAGTGACTTTGTTTTAAAATTGTGTGTTGCTGTTTTCTCTTAAGCAGGCTAGCACCCAAATTACTGAGACTGGACTCTATTATATTTGTTTAATACTGTACGGCACGATACCGAGCAGTCAATACTCTGTTCTAATCCTATAAGCTAGTCTGGCTTCTTCTTTGCCAAAATCCCTGAGATATTTGCATTTTATGGCTTTCTCTGCTCCAGCTGCTCTTTCTCATGATGTCTCCTGGACTGCTGCCTATGGCTGAGGTCCTCACTTCCTCTCCCTCTCTTCTCCTCCCCTGGCTGGCAGGAGGTCCATCCCTAGTCTCTCCCCTGCTCAGTGACTGGTTAAGCTGCTTTACTGACATACTAGGGGACAATGGGGAACCAAGTTTAGACAGGAGGTTCTCAGAACAAGGACTGCAAGCAGATCATGGGGGTAGTGCACGACAACATTATGCCTACACAGTACACCATGTATTTGTCTTCATTTTGATTAATGTAGCTTTGCATGCAAGTTTAAAATTAGGAAAAGAATCGGTTTTGTTATTTTCAAGAGTACTTTGCCTGTTTGGAGGTCTTTTGAGAGTCTTCCTACAGTCTGGATGGATGTCTTTCCCTATGCCTAGGAGATTTTAATAGGGACTGTGCTGAATCTGCAGATCAAGTCTGACTGCATCGCATCTTAACAGTCTTTGCATTTATTTGGCACCTTAGTTTCCTTACTAGTCTTTTCTAGTTCCAGTGTAGCACACTGAGAGTATTCATTAAAGCTCCAGTTGCCCGTGCTCTACTTCATTTGTAGGTGTAACATCCCATCTCAGGAAAGCCATGGAAGTCAGACACTTTGCCTTTGCTCTGCTTGTAAAGCAGGAGCATTACTGTCACAGAACTGTTCTTGCCCTAGGCTCCAGAAGCATGGCTAAGAGGCTCTGCTTTAGAGAGAAGCA